ATTTTTGATTTTATTGTAGAGATGAGGTCTCGCCAAGTTGCCCAGGCAGGTCTCGAACCCGCAAGCTCAGGCAATCCACTCACTTCCGCCTCCCAAAGGCACGGGATTACAGGCTGAGCCACCGAGCCCGGCTATCCTGGCTAATTTTTAAAATTTATTGTAGAGATGAAGTCTCACCAAGTTACCCAGGCTGTTTTGAACTCGTGGGCTCAGGCAATCCTCTCTCACCTTGACCTCTCAAAGTGCTGGGATTATAGGCGCGAGCCACCACGCCCGGCCACAGAAAGGGTCTTAATAGTAATCTAGACCCATCATAGAGACTGAAAAACTGAGTCACAGCACACCTCCGTGTCTGTGTAAAGACATGACACATAAGCAGTGCATCTGTGGCCTGGCATGGTGGCTAACGCATACAATTCCAGCACTTTGGGAGGCCTCTACAGTAAATCAAGAAAAATTAGGGTGTGATGGCGCACGCCTGTAGTTCCAGCTACTTAAAAGGCTGAGGTGGAAGGATCGCCAGAGCCCGGGAGGTCCACGCTGTGGTGGCTGGGAGCACGCCACTGCACTCCAGCCTGGGCAACAGAGTGAGAATCCGACTCAGAAAAAATAAAACAAAATAAATAATGGGGTTGATATCTTGCCCACCCTCCTCTCCTGGCCTTCTCCACCTCGAATAACCTCATAGTAACCATGAAAATAAAAACAGGGGCAGAGTATGGGTGCTAACTGCATATCAGGGACTGTGCCACGTGCTCTTCGGAGAGGTAGGACTCTGTCTGGACCTGAGAAGTCCCCATCACAACGGCTCCCACAGACGTGGTCAAGGCATCGCTGCCTAGGTGGTTACCGCTGCTCGAGCTCACACACATCGTTCTTCCCTCTTTTCACAACCACCCCCCAAGTTTGTCATCAGGCCTGTTTCTCAGGGAGATGGGCACACAGCCAACTCGGGATCAGGGCCCTGGTGGTGGTGCCCTGCAGCCCTCACCTTGCCCCGGGGCTTCAGCCCAGAGGCGGTGAACACCAGCAACTTCTCCAAGTCCTCCCAGCCGGGGGATGACTTCCGCATCTGCTTTTTCTGCGGCTCAGCGACTTCCTCGTCTGGGGCCACTGGAGGGGTGCCAGGTGGAGTATCGGGCTGGGATCCCGGTGTGCGGGTCTCTTCCCAGCGGAGGATCAGCGGGTGGAGTCCATTGACCAAATACAGCGTGTCTCCCACTCCCAGAGAGGCTTCCAAACCAGGCTTCAACTCCTGGGTCCCGGCAGTCGAGGGGTTAACGCCCAGCTGCAGAAGAGGGAGGAGCTGGGGACAGGCTCCGCCCCCACCAGGAGCTTCCTCCAATCAAATACCCAGAGGAAGAACCCTGCTTTGCCAGCTCGGTGGCTCAGCCTGTAGCCCGGAGCCTTGGGAGGCTGAGGTGAGTGGATTGCCAGAGCCCGTGGGTTCGAGACCCGCCTGGGCAACTTGGTGAGACCTCATCTCTACAATAAATAAAAAAAAATTAGCCGGGTGTGGTAGCGCGCGCCTATAGTTCCAGCTACTTGGAAGGCTGAGGCGGAAGGAACGCTGGAGCCCAGCAGGTCGAGGCTGTGGTGGTGGCCGGGAGCAGCCACTGCACTCCAGTCTGGGCGATAGAGTGAGACTCCAACTCACAAAACAAAACAAAACAAAACAAAAACCGTGCTTTTCTCCACCTGCCAATCAGATCCTTAATTCCCACCTCTCACTACGTAGCACCAATCAGTACTTTCGAAAAGTTACAGGTTTCCAGTCTTGACCAATTAGAAAGGGGATGGATAAATATCCATCCTATTGAGGCAGGCAACATTTTTTCTTTTCTGGCCGCAGTCCCCTGTCCCAGCCAATCAGATGTTTCTAATGGGCCTGTTCACTGCCTGCCGGCGATTCTTCCCCGAACCCTATCCCCAGGTCCTGCTGCCCCTAGCAGAGGCCTTGGTACCTGTTTCACTGCCACTGTCCGAGCTTCAGGATCTGCGACCAGCTCCACTGAGGACAGAGGGAGTGGGGTCAGGATTTGCATCTTTGTGTAATTTGTTTCCTCATTACTGGGGAGTCTGGCCGGCTTCAGGCTACAGCATCCAGTCGGGAAGGAGTAGGAAGCAGTTTCTTTCTAAATGGGATTGTCTCCTTGACATGCAATGGCCAGATGGGGGCCCTAGAACTGCCTGACGCTGGTCCTCGCCTCGGGATAGGGCTGATACATAGAATCAGCTTTCTCCTTGACAAAAGCTGGCTGAATGCAGGTCCTGGGCTTGGCCTGTTACCACCCATCCCGCCTAGAGACATTGACAAGAGTCTCGCCCTGTTTTAAGACTTCTGGATAGCCTAGGAGTATCCTTCTCTGCCCAGGGACCATTCTCCCGGGCTTGGCTTCATCTCCTCCCCCCAGGGGTCTGGCAAGTTCTAAGTGGCTGCACCACGCTATTCCTTTTAGTAGTCAAGCATCCCCCCCATCACAGGACTCACTGTCCCCCTTTCCCATGAACTGCGTTCCCGCTTCGGAAGCAGGCCACACCCCTCCACCTCAGGCTCCGCCCCTCCCCGCCCACCTTGGTTTCTGGAGCACTTCCGGTCCGTAACCTGCGTCAGGGGTCCCCGGCCCAGGACGAGGGCTTGCCCGTCCGAAGGTAGAAAGATGGGGGGTGCCCCCCCCGGGGGACACTCGAGCCATAGGCGGCCCTGGGCCTCCAACCCGGCCATCCTGGGTGCCGGCCTAGAGAGAAGCAGGTAAACGGGTTTGAATGGCAAGTCGCCCGCGCTTGCTGCAGGAAGTCCCGCCTCAAGTAGGAAGTCTCGCCCCCACCAGGAAGTCTCTCCAGTGCCCCGGAAGTCCCGCCCCGTCGCCCGCCTCCGCCCGCGCTGTTTCCCAGGCGACGACGCCGGATTCCTCCTCGCCGAGCTGAGATCCCTACTTCCCAGGGCAAAGGCCAAGAGGCCCGCACTCACCCCCGCCCGCCGCTCGGGCCCGGGCGCCACTTCCGACCTGGGAGGTCCTCCTTAGAGACCCTCTGCCCGCAACACGGCCGACTGCTCGCGGTTCCTCGGCGGACGGAAATGACTCGTCCCACCGAGGGGGGCGGGGCCTTGGCTCC